GAGGTTAAATTAGCATTTTTCTAAGTTAAATTTACACTGAAACATGTCGGACACTTTTTTTTAACTATACAAAATTGTTGAATCAGCAATTTCATTTTTCCGCGTGGAAAAGTTGAGGAGAGATTTTGGTACATACTATAAGTAGAGAAAATAGGAAAAATCACGGTGATTTCATTTTTGTTCATATTTTTTTATGCGAAAAAGAAGTCTGCAAATAGTGTCAGTAGTTTAATGCTCTTAATTGGATCGTATTTTTACTTCAAAATATCACCAGAGAACCGTTCATGCAGCAACCCGACCCGGCCACTTTCTCTGTAATTAGCAATGTATGATGGTATGCATTTTGCCACTTGCGTTGGATATCGATACCAAATGGACCGCGTTAAACAGAAAGGAACCAAGCCACATCAGCTGTCGCCAACTTTAATTGGGCGATCTAAGTTTTTACATGAAAACGGCTGTGCAGATTTTCGTGCAAATTTCGGTGAATTTTCTCCATAGTACCTGGCGAATTCCTTAAAATTTTCAAAGAAATCCACACAGACTTTCTCACGTAAAAAATTAAATTGCCCGATTAAATTTGGCAATAGCTGATGTGGCTTGGTTCCTTTCTGTTAAACGCAGTCCAAATGTTGTCAGCATATAGAGACTTTCTTTAGCATACCGAGGATGTGAGAAATTTGAGTTTACTAAAAAAATTTTGGTCATAGCCCTCTCACTATATCATAAAAATATTAGGCTTGTAATGATTTTACTCAACGTTAATCTACACAGTGAGAGAACAATACGATATTGAACAAATACTACTATACTGGTTTCATTTAAAAATTTTCACAACAATAGTTTTACAAAAGAGATTTATTCGAAACAAAGAAGCGAAATATGCTTCTAAACGTGATGGATTCGGGTCTTTTCTTTCTTGACAAAAATTTAGAAAGAAACCAGTATTTTAGCAAAATGTATTTGAAATCCTGATTTTTGCGCACTCCTGCCACAGATATCAACCTTGAAGTTGTTTCTTTATACCAAGCATCCTAAAGATGTAAAACTTCAAACTTATTATTCTCTTTTCTAAGTCCATTTTCCATTATTATTTCCATCCAAACGCTGCCTAGTGAGTATAAAAAATTGTTTTTAGAACGCGACACTCCTTTCCGAACTCCTTGATACAACTATTCGCTCTCATTGGATGCCCGTGTTGCATATACACTGATTTGAAGGCGCTTGGGCCTTGCATGGGCGCTGGAGGGCGCAGTACGCCGCGCCAACTGTTGCTGATTCATTAGTTAGCATTGACCCGTAATTGAATTTTTGACAAAATAATCTTCTTGAGGGTGAAAACATCTGATTGCTTCGCGGTTCTCCCTATAAACGGATTTTCTCAACACTTTAATATCTTTCTTAGTGGCGTACTTTTTGAACCACCTCTCCCAGCGCAGGGTGCTTCCTAATGACAAAAAGCATTAGTATGGGCACAAACTATGATTTTTAATATCATCATCGAATAAAAATGCTACTTTACTGTGATTACAGTGCTAGAAATAGTAGCGTTGAGCGGTTTTGCGCGGTTTAGTGTATCGACCAAGATTTCAAAAATCTACATTTCTTGCCCAATTTTCAGCCAATTCAGGGCGCTAAGCATCCTTTGAGGGCTTGGCCTCGTATCAGCCAGGATGCTAGTAATATACTATCTCTCTCAGTGGAGAACAGAAGGAGGTGTTTGCATTTCGGGCATATTGGATTTTAGCGGCTCTGGTGCTTGCACTAGAGCTGCTATTCCGGACGGTCCCAGCTGGGGAGTATCAATGCAGCATGTTACATTGTAGAGACCGCGCGTTGGTTGATGGGAATCGGCGCCATTTTCGGCTATGTTCCTTGTCATGACTTTATTTTATTGCATACTGTTTTATTGTTAGTCAATGCTATGTTGTGTATTGTATTTTTGGAATCATGGTGATACAGTCAACAATTCAAAACTTGTTTGTGCTTTTATCTCGTGATGGAAAAAATGTACTTTACGTTCAAAATTTGAAAATTTGAATTTTAAAGTTTTCGCGGTTAAGGAAGCTTTAACCACTGGGTTGGAGCTTCCTAGTCATATTACTTGATATCAGCTGATAGCAAACAAAGGTTACCAGGGAAACCGTAAACGTCTAACAACTATCGTGGCCATTGGGGCGATTATTGAAATGATATCGACTGTATGTCGCCGCTTACGACAGGACATAGCCCTATCTTAACTGTGTAATATATCGCAATTCGATATTGTTTTGATTTTTAAAAGGAGCAATTCATTCATACAGGCAAATTCATTCATTCATTCATTCATTCATTGATTGTATGTTTCATACGTGCGAAGCAAGTACGGGTCACTAGAAACGTGGTTAGTACGGGTGGCTGATGAAATTGATCTTCGAATACCTTTTGATGAGCTAGGGAAATGGAACCATCTGCATCTCATGGACAATAAATAGTTGCCGTAATTAAGGTCATCCCGTGATTAAGGTGCCGTGATTTAAGTCATAAATTCTTCATCTAATTCTTGATTCATCTCCAAAATGTCTGCTAAAGCTTTCATGCGCTTCTCCTTGTATGCATGAATGAGCAAATTGGGTATCGAACAAGCGGACACTTTTTGAAAATTTAGATGATTCTGGACAATATCGTACAGAAGTCCACGAGCTGCAGATAGAACCATTACCTCTAGCTCATCAAAAGTTATTCGAAGATCATTCAACAACCTCTTTGACAAGTTGCAAAAACTTTTCGTTAACAATAGTGTCACACGGTACTAGGAATATTTACTATTTAACGAACCTTATATTTCCCTGACTCAGTCCTAAATTATAGAAGTATGCGTTACTTTTCCAGCAATCCAAAAAAACAATTATACAAAAAACCAATACCTACACTTTCAGATATAAAAATGCAAAATTTTTGCAGCCTCGCTAAACGACTTATCAACCAGAGATTTTTTAGGAAGCGGACCTCCAAAGAGCTTTCAAAATTAAAAGTATACAACAAGTGATAATGCCATGTATTCGCCATATCAAAGCCCAATACACATTTATACACCGGCTACGTAAATCTGCTAAGTTACAAAACATGAATCGACAGTTGTCGGATTGTACATCAATGACAAAATGTGTCTAGGCCCTCATTCTTGACTACAACTACTGCCCCCAGAGCCGCTCTCCGACGCCAATGCGTTGGAGCTTCCTGCTTGTTTTTGATAACGTAGGTCGGTACGGACGATTTTTATCATCGATTTTCTTGGGAATGGTGTAGTTTCTGGAAGAAAGTCATACTTTTTAAAGTGTTTGAAATTATATCATGAGTTGATTTAGGCGAAAAAATCGGACGTTATGGTCCATTTTTCTAACTCCGAATTCCGGATTTTGCTGGAGTACCTGTACCGACCTACGTCATGGGGTAAACAATCCTCTAGATGCAAATAGTAAAATCAGGCATTTTGTCAAATACCTGTGCAAATAGTCAAATATTCTAGCTAAGATTGAAATTCTGATTATTTTCCTAATTTTAGACAAAAAAATTAATTGGCCCCGTAAGAAAAAATTGTCAGTAAAAATTTGCATCACAAAATAGTATTTTAAACGATTTTTAACTCCTGACGACACACTTATCTTGAACTTTTCAGCATGTCAGAGAGTACAGTATTTTTAGAATTTCAGCATTTAAAAATATGAGAAGCAACTTAAGAGGAAGAGACAAAAAGGGTTTGTAGGTCTGATGAGATATTTTTCCACAAATATTGCAAACTCGTGAGCTCTCCGTCATAAATTCACAAAATTTTGTAGATAATCAAAATTTAGCTATCTGCCTAGGCATTTGACGAAATGCCTGATCACACTACTTGCCTGCGACACAAGCACCTCCTTTTTACCTCTACGATCTCTCCCCGTTGTTGGAGCACGAAAGCCGGCAACGCTGCCGCGGAAAATAAAATCAAGCTCAACAACGGAGTGGGTGAAAAATTAAGTGCCCTCCGAGATGGCGGATCGGGGTAGGTGGCCCGGGCGAGCGCTAAACGCCGCGCAACTCTCGGTCCGTCTTTACGTGATATATTACTCCCCCTCCCCCCCTCTTTTTTTGCCCCGGCCCCGGCCCCGGCTCGGTTTTTCACTCGACCATTAGATTTTCACTTTTGCCCTTCGCTCCTCCGTTTTACCTCCGATTTTTCTCGCCGTCCACTCACTCTCCGACTTCCACTTCGTCGCTGGGCCGACAAAACGTCGTGAGTACACTTAAAGATGAGCCCGGGAAGGCATTGGGATATGTGGACTACAGGGCTCATCGCGCGAGTGTAGATACGTCGTTTTGTCCGGAGGCGACGACTTCCCGCGGCGACACGCGCGAGTGGGGTCTCGAGGACCCGTTTCACTGGCACCTGACAGAGGTAGCCGACATCAATTCTAAAGGGGAAACGTCGTATGAGCACTCGGTGTTGCCGAATTTCTTCCCGTAAAAGTAGATTTTTTGAGAACTTGCCGACTCGTTTTTTTGAATTTAACTGCGGCTTAATCTTCCTCAGAGATTGATAAAATGGACGTATTTATGCTAAAAAGGAAACGTCCAAATAGGAAACGCTCTAAGGGAGAAGTGGGTCGAGGAGATCGGTTCGCTATTTTGTTTTTACATGTCAAAGGATAGCTATGGCCAAAGTGCAAAACCACTGAAGAGAACGACTTGTTAGTTAGTTACTTAGTCAGTTAGTTAGTGATTGAGCAATTTAATTTTTTACGTGATAACGGCCTTGCAAGGTTTTTTTTTGCACATTTCAATGACTATTTCTCAAAGTACGAAGCAAACTTAAAAATTTCAAGAACAAACGGTCTCTCGTAAAAAATTAAATTGCTCAGTTGATTTATCAATAGCTGATGCGGCTTGGTTCCTTCCTGCTGAACGGGGTCCAATTATGCTACAGTTCTCATTTCTTTATTGATGTATATTAGCTAACGATTTCGTTCGCTTGTCCCCAGTTTTGGTACCAGCAAAAGCAGACGCGGGACTTTCTGGAGCACTCGCTGAACCACGAGCTGTCTGACGTCATCAAGGCGGACAAAGACGGGATCCTATTCACGGAAGTGGAAGTGACGGAAATCAGCATATCGGAAATGAATCCGGATGATATAAAGGTCAGTCCAACTTCCAATTTCCAGCATTAACGCCCGCATCGATCCGGGACTCAGCTACGCTAACAGCGGTTCCGGGTTGTCGTCTCACGAGACTCCCTCAAGTTTTTCTCATCGCGATTTACAAAACTTGGAGCCCGCACCAGGGCAATAGCTGCCGTACCAAGGAAGAACGTCGTACGAGCCTCCAGACGTTGCCTAGTCTCCTCCGATAAAAACCGAATTTACTGGGAAAATTGTGAACATTATTTTCCAAAATTTTAAAACAATTTCATACGCAATTTGATCTAAAATATCTGAAAATTTCATGGAAAAATATGCATGAATGTTGTCAAAAATACATGGGAAATATGACAACTCTCAAATGTTCATACGGCCTTTTTCCTTATTATGGCAGGATAGCCGCGGGCTGATTATTGCCGTTGAAAGGCAAGGCCATAAATCTTGCCTTAATTTCTAAATTTAATTTTTTTATAATAAAATAGTATCAATCTTATTTAGTTACAATTTCTTAGTTTAATGTATCAAAGCTTTATAAACTTCAGAGCTTGAAACTCATACGGATTTTTCCGCTAACATAGATGAAAATTCATGAAGGTTCCCTAGAAACTGCGTTAAGTACGTAGTTTTCCACAGAATAAATTGATTACATTTTGCAATAAGGAACCGCTATTTCTGATCCTTTTTAGAAACAGCATCCATGCCATTGGTTTTCCTAAGCGGATGTGTGATTTTGTGGGAGAACAAGAGATGGTGGCTCCTCACTCCAAAATGTAATCCAAATGAAGTGTGACGGGAAGTCTACGTCGTTGAAAACTCACTGGAAAAAAAGTCGCTTGGATCTAGAGTCCAGACTCCTAAAAACATCTACAAGAAAAAGTACTCTTGATTTAATCGGACTTTTTACTTGAATCAAAAGGAAATCCGCCTAAATCAAGAGACTCGGCTCCTCGACTCAAGTAAAAATCGGATTGAATCAAGAGTATTATTTCTCGTCAATATTAGCAAGAGTCTGGACTCTAGATCCAAGCGACTTTTTTTCCAGTGCTGAGATGCGTGTTTGCGCACTTTGGCCTTCGTTTTATTTGTGCAAAAAATGTGTGCACACACTCAGCAGCGCCGACTAAATCATGAAAGCTCTACACAAATTCTCTATCAAACGAATAAATGCCTTGCGAGTTCGAGTTCCCTCTAAATATTTAAAGTGAGATTATAAATCGCGTTCGTTTGGTTGCCTGAGAAAAACGAGTGCATAATCTTAACGCGACGTGACGCAGCAGTTTTTATGGAGGACCCCCTTAATTCCCCAAGCCCCTTAATTCATGCGTGCGGGCCCACGGGGTTTACTGTCGTGCTCGGGGGAAACCCCGTATGAATATAAGAACGTTGCCAAATTTCCTCTGGTATGATATTTATTATTGAGGCAAATGTGACAGGATTTGTGAGAAGGTACTTTATATTCTGGGAGAAAACTCTGCCGTCCATAGCAAGAATGCCGTACTTCCATTCTAGGTTTATTAAAATTTTTCCCTACAAAATGTAGCATTACAAAGAAACCTAAGAGCGTTTACTCCTCATTATTTTAGAATAATTCGACGGTGTAAGTCGGTAATCACATAACTTGTTTGCGGTGTCTGAAAATCTCCGCCTCGATGTTATTTTTTTAGCGGAGAACAAATTGACATCATTCCTTGAAGTTTTTGCAGAATTTTCTTCGCACAGAGGAGAAAAATCACGGCAGTTTTAAAGAATTGCCGTTGAGTAGTTTCCCGTTTGAAAAATAAAGTATGACAGGAAGTCTGCGACGTCGAAAATCGAGTTATGTGATCGCTGACTTACACCGTTGATTTATATGATTCTTTTCCCCCATCAATTTAACCGAGAATAATCCATGCATTTGTCGGTACAAACATTTCAAAACCAAGAGTTGAAAAACGCCGACTCCGCGAGTTTAAATATTAGAGCCTAACAGAGCGAAGCGGCGAGGCGGCGTGCTGCCGGCGCTAAACGCGCTTTGGCGCCTACAAACTTAACAGGATACTTCACGCATTGTGCAATGCTTGAAGTATCATCCCCTTAGGTTTGTAGGCGCCAAAGCGCGTTCCGCGCTGGCATCATGCCGCGCCGTGCCACGGCGCTCCAAGCAACTATTTCACAACAGAGGTGTTGCACAGTATCATACGAAATTGAAGGCGCTTCAACATATGAAGAATAACAGGCATCTTCTAAGAGCACAGATCTTTCCTCGAAAAATAAATCAACTACGGCACAAAAAGAGAGCGGTAGTCCAAAAACTCACTCAGCACTAGCATCCACATTTAATAACGTTTGGTAGATTTCTTGAATTTCATTTGAGAAAACAGTGACTCGATTAAGGCAGACATATTCTTGGGCATGCCGTCAAGAATATTATATTTAGAATTGATTATATTTATAATCGGGCCGCAACCCGAGTTATGTGATTGCCGACTAACACCGTCAAATTACTAAAATGCCACTGAGAGCTCAATTGACAAATTGAAGCACATTGGTAATTGGAATGTATTGTAACAAAACAATATGTATGACGGAGAAATTAAAATTTTGATTTTAGTTACGGCGTTTTTGCTGTAGCCGGCAGAACTGTCCAGTAGATCTTCATGTAGCGGAAAAAGTCAAAATCAAAATCGGCGATTTTTAGTTTTCAAGGAGAAACGCTCTATTGAAGACTTGGAAACAAGCTACTCGCGGTTTTAGTCTGATTTTCCCGCCTGAGAGCTATTTTTTTGAGTGTGTGTGTGTTAACATTCCTAATTTAAAAACCCAATACTTTCACCAAAAACCTTTACCTGAAACTTAAGCACTTTTGTTTTGGAACCTCATGTTGTCGCATCTCTCCAATTTTTGAGCTTACAGGGTCAAAATGTCCAGATTAGATCCAAGATAAAGTCTCTTTTCACAGATCCTGTCCAAAAATGTGTGTATTTTCCCTTGAAAATTTCAGCTATATTAGATTGTAATGCGTACATGGTTATGAATAATCTAAAAAAAAGTACTTTACAACATTTATAAAAAATTCGGTTTTTATTAAGAAACTTCGGCGACAAACTTCGGATGTCGCCGTTATTTCTTAGCACGTCGATTTAGCTCCTCGGAGTCGGGATTTTTTCAAGGTTGTCAGATTAGATGATAAAATATATGGATTTTATACGGGGTCAAATGAGAGGAAAAATTCTGATTTCTTAGCACTACCTGGCAAAAACGGTCGTTTTCAGATGGCTCCAACATTCATCTGGCGAGCTTAGCTTTTCTGCTCAACGGCTGATTCCGCGTCCGCCCACGATGCTACCTTTTGAATGACAAAGTAGGACAAGAGCGAAGTTGTCTTCCCGACCAATCTAACGACCAGACCCGAGGCAGAATCGCCTTTGAGCGTCGGATTTCAAGGCTCAGTCACGAGGTTTCTGCTCAGCGGGACGGAGTGGAGAAATGCAAAGTAGTCAAGCTTCGGGAATAGTTGCAATGGAAGAATCTGAGGAAGCATATTCTAAATGCTCTCTCGCGAGTAACAAGATACGGGCTATTCGTCGCTAACTTTTATTTTGTCCGCCGGGAGGACCGGATAAAGGAGGGGAAATGAAGAGGAAAATTATACGGACTTTTTTTCTCTGTGAGAATGGGCTTTCAGCTTTTATTTCTTGATTTGTCGGAAGTGATGACTTTTTTGAACTTGATGAAATATTTATGATACGATAATTTTAACCCGTTTCATTCAAAGAAGTATTTCAATATCTGTAACCGTGGCTGTTTCTGTTTTCCTATCGAGGATTTTTGATCGGGAATGACGAAAATTTTTGAATAGGAATAACGGAAGGAGAAAAAAGATAGTTTTATGATGGATCCGTTGGTTTTTAAAAATGCTACCCTCGGATCGAATTTTTTTAAGGAGAGAGCGGTGGATCGCATTAAAAGGAATATGGACGAAGCCTTTTGAATGGAGACTTTGGCTGGAGGGGATGAATTTGGTTTGGGGTACATTAATATATTGTCTTTTTACCTACAAAACTTTCAACGCTGCCACGCGCTGCGTCAAAAGGGTAGCCTAACGACCCGGAGGATTCGCGATTAAGATCGCATTCATGCCTGAAGATAGGAGGCGGTGTTGTCATATCGTGCTTGTCATCGTCTCCGTTGCAAGAATCCACCAACCACGTGTATGTGTTACCGAAGAGAGCAGTAATTAAAAAATTGAAATTCTGATTTGAAATCTGGGAAAATGGACTTTTTACTATCGTTCACTGTAAAATTTTAATGATTGAGCCCGCCGTTTTTTGTAGGATGTTAAAAATGACCCAAAAATCTATTATCAATCGTTCTAAACTAATTCTTTGGCAAGATGGTCGAATTATGTTAGTAATCTTATTATATTAGACATTAACGCGAGCTGATAGTAACACTGATTGTCAGTCAGATTGTTTCGGCGCTTTTTCAACTCATCGGGTCCGTTTACTCACAGGGCTATAAAATTTCGGATCCGTTTTTGTTCCCTCAAAGGTTCCCACTCAGACTTCTTTCCTTTTTCTTTAGGAAAGCATACACATAGACTTGAATGAAACATTATTTTTCGTCAGGTCTGGGCAAAATTACGACGGATTTCAAAATGTTCATACTCGTACTCCTTTAGAAGATAGGCAGTGTGAAAGATGTAACGTCGCAAATCGAACTATGCATTGATTTTATCTCACCGTCGGTTATCAGAAAATTTGTAACAGCGCACGGGCTACAGTGTAATACTGCCGTGCTAAGGAAAAACGCCGTACAAACCTTTATGCATTGCCAAATTTTCTTTGATAAAAACACGGATTTTCAGGTAAACTTATGAATATTTTCTTTCTAAATTTTTGGATAATTTTGTTCTCAATTTCATCGAAAGTTCCTGAAAATTTCAAGGAAAAATATTCATAATATTTCTCCAAAATAAACATTTCGTCGGAGGAAATTTGGCAACTCTAGGATGTACATAC